GTTTGCCTTTTATGCTTAGAAATAAATATCGTTCAGTTCTCTCTAAATTCAGCAATCTTCGACTGTCAATCTTGTAGTGCTGCATCTGTGAGATCATTCTTTTTGGGCTTCAAAGGAAATTGAACTTATTTGCACCGAACTTCATTTCTGTTCTTGTGATTACTGTTCAGCAATTAAAGTGGTTCTTTGTCGTGTTTCATTTTCTAAGGATTATATAGCGCAACTAGGTGTTTATTATTTCTGACCACTATTCAGTTTGTTAATACCTTGTGCATCATGTTGTTTGTCAAACATGTTGGTGCTCTGTCCTGAAAAAATCATCTCTTCATCTTCGGATAGTAATGTAAATGTAGTGGTTGGTTTCCATCTAGCAGGGATGCTATATCTTTTGAAAGTTGTATTGAGCAAGTTGTTGACGAAATATACCACCATAGTTAGTATTTTTGTTTTTGGTGTAAGCATGCCTTTTTTATTCACTCCGCTGTTCAATGAGTAAATTGCATAAAACCACCACTTTAAAGACTAGGTTTGCGAAAAATACTATAATACATTTTTTTTGCAGAAAACATCACATCTACGGTAACCTTTTTGCAAAAAACACTCATCGGCGGATTTGACTTGATTGAGCATGTTTATGACAGATTGGGCCCGTTAGTCAGACCGACGTGGCACCGCCTAAGTAACGGCGAAGTTGGCTAACGTTATCATCATGTGTGGCCCTGTGGGGTCCACCTGTCATTGAAAGTAAAAAGAAGAAAAAAAATCTGGTGCTCATCAACCTCCTGCCGCTGGACAGAGGAGCGCTATGGCCGCCGAAGCCGGCGTCGACTGGGGCCCGAGGGAGCTCGCCGGCGAAGGATCTAGAACAGGCGCTCCGCGCGCATCTGGGGGTGGCTGCGGGGTCGCATGGGACGGCCTGCAGCGTCGCTGCCATGGGCCAGGCCGCCGACGGCCAAAGAGCTGCGGGCCGGGGGGCTTCCTCGAAGGAACTAGTAGGCGGCGTCCTCTGCTCCGCCCGGTGCGGCAACGACGACGGCAGCCCCTGGCACGGTCGCGGTCGAGGCGGGCGACGGTAGCCCCTGCCACGGCCTGGGTCAGGATGGGCGACGGCAGCCCCTGCCACGGACGGGGTTGGGACGGGCAACGACCTCTGCGTACACCTCGGCACATCGCCGGTGATGGTGGACTTTGCCTCGGCCGGCTGCCGCATCCCGGCGCCACCGTCCTTGACCTTAGTCGCCTGGCTGAGGCTCGCGACGCCGGCCTGTGCAGTGCACTCGAACTGTTCGATGGAATGCCAAAGAGAGGCTTGTTAGGCTGAAAAGCAGGCCTCACATCCAGCAAACGTTTTCATGTAACGATGTAAGAAATTGGTGCCACGTCGGACTGACTGGCGGGCCCGTTTGTCATAAACTCACTTAAGCTGAGACCGATCCGCCGATCAGTGTTTTTTGCAAAAAAAAAAATTACTGTAGACATCAAAGTGGTGGTTTTGTAGTGTTTTTCGCAAACCTAGCCTTCAAAGTGGTGGTTTTGTGCAATTTACTCCTGTTCAATTGGTCCAGTCTAGTTAATTGTGCGATTAAAAGATGCTTTCACACATTTCTATTGATCTTTGTCTGTGTGTGCGCAAAAGCTGGTCCTAATGAGTATTCTGAATCATGTGTGTTTCTTCTGATAACATTTATTTTGACGTCGTTTGTAAGTGATCTGGTTGCTTATTTTGTTTAGAATAATGTGCAGGAGGCTCTATGCCTGCACTTGAATTGACAAGAAAGTGGGGAACAATTGATGTAGCTGATGCACTAGAGCTTCTCTCGCCAGATTCTGAAAACAAGGAAGTAAGCTATCTAGCACCTCTATGCGTGCTTCCATTTTTCTTAGATGTCTGTGTACTATGAGGTTTTCAGATTTATTAGATTTGTTCGCGTGAAAAAGATTTTTTGATGGGTTTATAGAGTTTTTTTTATCACGCTTCCTTGTGAATTAGTCATTAGTAATTATGCAATTCCTGCTCTGGAGTTTCTCATGAAAAATTGCTGTATGACAAAGACATGTGTCCTTTTTTCAAGCATATATTCAATTTTGCCCTCTGTTACGCTTTAATGCTCCCTTCAAATCATATTTTAGTAGAAGTAGGGATACTCACGTTTATGAGCTGTATCTAGTAAGCGTTGTTGCTCACTGGAGACATTTACCTTTAACTTGTTCAGAAACTTTTTGAAACAATGATTTTATCCAGTTCAATACTTGGGGAAATTTTTTGATAGCGATCTCATATTTGTGGATGGGATGAGAATATGAGATGTTTGCCTCAGCTATACTGTTCATATGCCTCCTTTATTGATGGAGAGAACTTACTGCCTGGGGAGATACTCTAGTGAACAATTTATGTGACTGGGGAGGCCACCATGTGAGTGGAGCAATTCCATGACCCCAATCCATCCATCAGCATCCCCTTTTCAAAAGAAGAGCATCCTCTTTTTTCCAAGGAAGAAAGGATCGAATTCCTTCCCCACAGGACAGAGCACGTCTCCTCCCACAGATCTTATTCCCACCGACGACCCATCTGTAAGATAACCACGGTTCCATTAGCAGCTAGTTAAACACGCCAAGAACTACACAATAACTATTAAAATGATTAATAAAAATAATTTCAAAACGGAAAACAAATAAAAGGAAACATAAGTATGATAGAAGCAAAATAAGACAAGAAAATTACGAAAAAGTACCTAAATGCACCTAGAAGCTGGAACTGTCATTGCTAAAATAAAAGAACCTGGTTACTAGTACGATCTAATTAATACTGACGGGAATGTTTTCAGGTCTAGTTAGCAACCTGACAAACCTGGAAGGAGAGAGTACGGTCTAGAAATAATATCTAGATAGAGAGAGGAGGATTGGCACTAAAATTTGGCTTTGATGCCAATAAATTCCTCCAACCGCATGACCCCATCCATCCGTCTCATTTCCTCTTTGCCAAAGAAAGAATCGAATTCCTTCCCCACAGACCACATGCATGTCTCCCTGAATTCTTTTCCAAAGAAGAGCTTAGCCTTAGCTGCTTTCCCGAATCCTATTCCCAACTTCCAAAAGCTTTGCTGCTCCCAGAAATCTCACGCCCACGACCACACGTATCCCCGCTGCTCTAGCTTCACCGGCGCAACCGCCTGGTTGCACGTCTCGTCGTCGGTGCCGACCAGGTTCTGGGTACTGCTGCTGCTGCTGCTACAGCGCGGGAGCCCCTCGGCTTCCACATGCCGGTCAGGACCACGTCTTCCTCGCTGTTGCTGCGTTGCTGGTCCTGGTTTCTCAGGAGCAAGCTTGTGAAGGTAACTATGGCTGCAATATTTGATTTTGAGTTGTAACTGGTTAAAGAACAGATGTCAAGCACTCAAGCTATATTTACACACGTCTTCCTCACAAGACTTGTAACTGGTTCAGGGTGTAGATTTCATTTTAGTTTTTTTTCACCCCTGTAGATTCATAAATTTCGAAAAATTTATGGAACATTTCACAAATAGGTTCAGCAAAGTTCAGATTTAGACAACACAAATTACAAGTCTTGCTGACAACTTTGTCTCCCCCCCTTAAATTCTGCAGTGCACTTGTGTTGTCCGTAAGTGTTACAATGGCGGAGCTGGTGGTCACCATGGCGATCCGCCCGCTGGTGTCCATGCTGAGGGACAAGGCGTCCAGCTACATCCTCGATGAGTACAATGTGATGGAGGGAATGGAGAAGCAACATAGGATTCTGAAACGCAGGCTTCCTATCATCCTGGACGTCATCACCGACGCCGAGGAGCAGGCCGCAGCACACAGAGAAGGAGCTAAAGCTTGGCTCCAGGAGCTCAAGACAGTGGCCTATGAGGCAAATGAAGTCTTTGACGAGTTCAGGTATGAAGCGCTCCGCCGTGAAGCAAAGAAGAATGGACACTACAAAAAGCTTGGCTTTGATGTTATAAAACTCTTCCCTACCCACAACCGTGTCGTGTTCCGTCACAGAATGGGTAGCAAGCTTTGCAGGATTCTAAAAGATATCAATGTCCTAATAGCAGAGATGCATGACTTTGGGTTGAGGCAGACATTATTGGTGTCCAATCAGTTGAGGCAGACACTAGTGGCCAAGGAGTGGAGGCAGACAGATTATGTCATCATCGACACACAAGAAATTGCCAGCAGATCCAGACACGAAGATAAGAATAATATCATCGACATACTACTTGGTGAAGCTAGCAATGCAGATCTCGCAGTAGTTCCCATTGTTGGAATGGGGGGCCTTGGCAAGACCACATTGGCGCAATTCATATACAATGGACCTAAAATTCAGAAGCATTTTCCGTTGCAGCTCTGGGTCTGCGTCTCTGATACCTTCGATGTGAATTTGGTGGCTAAGAGTATAGTTAAAGCATCCCCCAAGAAAAATGATGATACGGACAAACCAGCACCGGATAGACTTCAAAAATTGGTCAGCGGGCAGAGGTATCTCCTTGTATTGGATGATGTCTGGAACAGAGAGGTCCATAAGTGGGAAAGGCTGAAGGTCTGTCTGAAGCATGGTGGCATGGGTAGTGCAATGTTGACAACAACCCATGATAAACAAGTTGCTGAGATTATGGGTGCAGATAGAACCTACAATCTCAATGTTTTGAAGGATAACTTCATCAAGGAAATTATTGATACTAGAGCATTCAGTTCAGAGATTGAAAAGCCTCCTGAGCTACTCGAGATGGTTGGTGAGATTGTGAAGAGATGTCGTGCCTCTCCTTTAGCTGCAACTGCACTGGGATCTGTACTTCGTACCAAGACTAGCGTGGCAGAATGGAAGGCTATATCATCTAGAAGCAGTATTTGCACTGAGGAAACAGGAATTTTGCCAATACTCAAGCTTAGCTAGAATGATCTGCCAGCACACATGAAGCAGTGCTTTGCTTTCTGTGCCATATTTCCCAAGGATTACAAGATTAATGCGGAGAAGCTTATCCAACTATGGATCGCCAATGGCTTTATCCCGGAACAGGAGGAAGATAGTCTTGAAACCATTGGAAGACATATTTTCAATGAGCTAGCAGCAAGGTCATTCTTTCTAGACATAGAAGAATTTAAGGGCGACAGGGAGTATTGTTTCAGAACTACATGCAAAATCCATGATCTTATGCATGATATTGCGATGTCTGTTATGGGAAAGGAATGTGTCGTTGCAATTAAGGAACCAAGTCAAATCGAGTGGCTTTCGGATACTGCTCGACACTTGTTCTTGTCATGTGAAAAAACAGAAGGTATTTTAAATGATTCTTTGGAGAAAAAATCCCCTGCGATTCAAACACTGATATGCGATAGTCCTATTCGAAGCTCATTGAAGCATTTATCAAAATACAGCTCTTTGCATGCGTTGAAGCTCCGTATGTGGACAAAATCATTTTCACTGAGATCGAAGTATCTACACCACCTGAGGTACCTTGATCTCTCGTGCAGTGATATCAAATCACTTCCTGAAGATATAAGTATTCTATATAACCTGCAAACGCTGGACCTTTCCAACTGCTATTATCTTGACCGACTTCCGAGGCAAATGAAGTATATGAGTTCCCTCCGCCACCTATATACTCATGGATGTCCGAAGCTGAAGTGCATGCCTCCAGAATTAGGAAAACCCAATAAGCTGCAAACGCTTACATGTTTCGTAGCAGCAGCAGTTATTGGACCAAATTGTAGTGATGTTGCAGAGCTGCAGCATTTAAACCTTGGTGGCCAGTTAGAGCTACGTCGGATAGACAATGTTACAGAAGCAAAAGCAAAAGTGGCAAACCTTGGAAAGAAGAAGGATCTCAGAGAACTGACATTAAGACAGACTTTTCTGTTTGTGACAACAAGGTGCTCGACAATTTTGAACCACATGATGGGCTGGAGATTTTGAAGATATATTCCTATGGAGGAGAGTGCATGGGTATGTTGCAAAACATGGTTGAGATCCATCTATTTCATTGCAAAAGATTGCAAGTTTTGTTCTGATGCAGTTCAATCTTCACTTGTCCAAAACTGAAGGTGCTTACGCTAGAACATTTGTTGGGTTTTGAGAGATGGTGGGAAAAAGATGAGAAGCAAGAAGAACAGACAATATTTCCTGTGCTTGAGAAGTTGTTTATTAGTAATTGTGGAAAGTTGATAGCATTACCTGAAGCACCATTGCTGCGAGGACCTTGTGGTGAAGGTGGTTATACATTGGTACTCTCAGCATTTCCTTCCCTAAAGATACTCAAAATGAAAACCTTGGAGAGCTTTTAGAGATGGGATGCAGTCGAAGAGACTCAAGGAGAACATATATTGTTTCCTCGGCTTGAGAAACTATCGGTTAAAGACAGCCCCCAGCTGATAGATTTACCTGAAGCACCATTGCTTCAAGAACCATGTAGTGAAGGTGGTTATAGATTGGTACGTTCAGCCTTTCCTGCCTTAAAGGTGCTGGAAATGATATGCTTGGGGAGCTTCCAGAGATGGGATGCAGTCGAAGGTACATTGTTTCCTCAGCTTGAGAAATTGTCAGTCCATAAATGCCCAAAACTGGTAGCATTGCCCGAAGCACCAAAACTCGGTGCACTATACATTGAAGATGGCAAGCAAGAGATCTTCCACTGTGTAGACAGGTATTTATCTTCATTGACCAATTTGACACTATGGCTAGAACACACAGAAACAACATCAGAGGTTGAATGCACTTCAATTGTGCCGGTGGAGAGCAAGGAGAAATGGAACCAGAAATCCCCTCTTTCACTTATGAGGCTAAGATGTTGCAACTCATTCTTTGGAGATGGTGCACTAGAGCCATGGGACTATTTTGTACATCTTGGAGAGCTGGTAATTTAGAGATGTGATGTGCTCGTCCACTGGCCAGATAAAGCATTCCCGGCTTGGTATCCTTGAGGCGATTGGAGATTAGAAACTGCAAAAATCTGACTGGATATGCAGAATCTCTTGAGCCATCAACATCCGAAAGGAGTCAATACCTGCCAGGTCTGGAGTCCCTTAATTTATATGATTTTGCAAATTTGGTAGAGATGTTCAATGTCCCAACATCTCTCAAGAAAATGTTTATTACTAGCTGCATGAAGCTTGAGTCCATATACGGCAAGCAGCAGGTCATGTCAGACTTACTCCAAGGATCTTCTTGCAGTGAGGCAATCATACCTGCAGCTGTATAAGAGTTGCCATCCTCACCCATGAATCACTTTTGTCCATGCCTAGATTATCTTCATTTATATATATGTGGAAGCTTACCAGCGGTTTTGAACCTTCCTCCGTCCTTAAAATACATTCGTATTGCTAGATGTAGTAGTATTCGAGTCCTATCATGCCAGCTGGGTGGGCTTCAGAAACCAGAAGTCACTACCTCTATAAGCAGAAGCCCTACCATGCCAGAGCCACCACCAGCTGCTGCAGCTACACAAGAGCATTTACTTCCTCCCCATATCAATACTCTAGGAATAAAGGACTGTGATGGCATGTTGGGGACTCTCCGTCTGTCTGCACCACTCAAAGGACTGGCAATTATTGGCAACAGTGGGTTGACATTGTTGGAGTGTCTGTTGGTAGAGCACCCCCCATCGCTAGAATTCGTTCATCTTAAAAGATGCAGTACCCTGGCATCCCTACCGAATGAACCACAAATATACAGATCTCTCCAAGGTCTTGAAATTAAAGGTTGTCCTGCTATAAAGAAGCTCCCTAGATGCCTGCAGCAGCAACTGGGCAGCATCAGGCTCAAATACAGAGGACTAGATGACCGTCATGAAGGTATGCTTGCAGCACATCCTTCTATCACTAGTGCAGAACCGGCCTTTAGTGCCGGTTCGTGACGGCCTTTAGTGTCGGTTCGACAACCGGCACTAAAGAGTGGGGACTAAAGGTCCCCCCCGTTTAGTACCGGTTCGTCACGAACAGGCGCTAAAGTGCAAACACGTGGCACGAGCCAGGCCCTGATGCGCGTAGGGCTTTAGTACAGGTTGGTAACACCAACCGGTACTAAATGTTTGGGTGTTTTTTTAGTTTTTCCTTTAGTTTTGTGTTTTCAATTTAATTTATTGATTGTTTTACATTATAATGAGTTGTTAAATCATTAGGTGAAAGTACCGCGGATTAGTTTCGACTGAAGGATCTAGTAGCTATAAGTGATCGAGTATATGTCATATCGATATTATACTTGATCACGTAATTAGGTGATCAATTATAATATATATGGATATGACATATATATACTTGATCACTTAGGTAGGATCCATCCAGCTGAAACTAATCTGTGGTTTCTTTCATTAAATGATATAATAGCTCATCATCATCATCATATTAATATAAAAACTCTTGCATCGATCATATCATCAACATGAGTATATGTATACTCTAGCTAGCTAGCTAAAAATCATCGTAGTCGTCATTATCACTATTTAATCATCATAGTCATTACCGCTATCTAATCACCACCAACAGTAGCTTAAAGAAGAAACATTCACTTGTACCAGAAGCAAAAATATCATCGAGTTCAACATTATTGTTATGATATTATAAGCGTTCATATATATATAACACCACAAAAGCAAATCACTATTTGAGATTAAGTTCAGAACGAAGAACACGGACATGAAAGGACAAGTACTAAGAGTAGCATGAACTAACTAAATCACTCCTGCTAGCTACTCTCTCTCTGGTAAAATAGCATAGAACATGTATAGCTCTCCTGATTCATCATACTAGAGCATGCAAATGAACCTGTCTCCTAATCGTGGGCTGCGCTTCTCATTGCTGCCCCCTAATACTTCTCTGCGATCGTTAGCAATTTTCCTCCAATCTTTCACTATTAAGCATTCATCGCTTCTAGAAATCCTGAATGCATTCATGTGCAATGCAGGATATCTTGGCCGTAAGCTAACAATTGACATGCGACCTTTAGTCTCGATCCCCTGAGGCACAACTATCATCGGGAGTCCCTGTTGAAGAACATCGTATAGTACTTAATTAATATACTTAGCAATGAAAGTTTAGCAAAAAAATATGTATGCAAAAGATGCACTGAGGACAAATAGTAAAAATCTTACCATCATTCCTAAATAGATGTGACCGTAGTTCAATACCATCACTATTGGTCGCACGTTTTGAGTACTAACATTTCTAAGTGCGGGAAGAAAATTTGTCTTGACAGTATGAAGATCATCAAGCCATGAAACATAATGACTTATCTCCTCGCAGTTTAGTTCAGCTCCGGGACAGTAGTAGGTCATGTCCACCAAGCGTCGGACATGTTTGCTTGAATGGAAATAAGCTGTCAATAGAAATTAGTTGTCAATTATTTTTGAATAAGCAATATCAAAGACAAAAATATAGTTGAGAAGAACTCATATAATGGTAGAACTGGAGGCATCTGCACATGACCCATATGTCTCTATTACCTTCAATATCATCTTCCGGACAAATATCAAAGGTGATAATCATACAAGGCTCAAATGCATAAGCCTTGCATAGTGCTTGCCAAGTTTTGCATTCAAAATAGGTGTACGTGTGTGCATTGTATACTTTGACGTTGAAAGTATAATCATGCTCAGTTTTCAGGTAAACTCTCTTTACCTCCATAGTTTCCATATCCTTGAAACCTATCTTATCCAAGACAAAAATTCTTGTATGGCAGGGGATGCGCTAGTAGAATAGTGAAAATTAAACATTATAAGTCAGGCAAATGAAGCATATATAAGTCATGCTTAATTACGAAAACAGACTTGTCGTTGTGACTTACTGTATCGAATTCGAAGGTCTCATCCAGTTTGATGCTGAATCGCCTATCATCAACAAGGAAATTTCTGTCGCACTGACCGCTCTGGTCTTCACAGTATTGGCACATAATGAAATTTTTTC